TCTTGCATAGTTCTATGCAATGCTTCGAGTGAATGTTTGTGAGCCATTGTGCACTCATCCCAAATTATGATTGAACTCTTCCGCAACACTGCAGCTATTCCACTATTTTTTATGTTACATATTTCGTTTGGTTTATTATGAATGTCCAATGGCAACTTCAATGTTGAATGCGCCGTTCGCACATCATCTAACAAAGTAGCCGCAATACCTGACGATGCAACTGCCAATGCTATTTTCTATTGTGATCGTATTTTGGCAAGAATCAGCGATATTAAAAATGTATTACCAGTTCCACCAGGTGCGTCCAAGAAAAAAAAGCCGCCTTGTTCAGCAGCAACAGTCAGCATAATCCGATCATAAATAATTTTTTTTTCTGCTGTCAGTAATGGCTCATTGTTTGCTATAAACGTTGCTAAATTACCGTGGTCATATTGTTTTTCTCGCTGTAAATCGGTGTTTTCTAAGTCGGTGGCTGGGCGATCAGGTGATGGCATACCATAATGATTAAGTGGTTAATTTGAAATTAAAACACATAAATTCTTGACCAATACTAACGCTTCATTATATATCTCTGGCGTATAATCTATGTTTTGGCATTGATCTCTTTGTCTAATTCGGTGCAATATTTCTTCTGTCATATATTTTTTTTATTTTTCCAAAAATTTTGTGCTTGCGATGAATAACATGTTGTTAAAATAATTGCAAACAGCTGACGAATGTTATTGGGCGTTGATGTCAACGCAGCATCAGCAAGCGTTAAGTTCCAATGGTTATCGTCTTCTAGCAATTGCAGTCCACGACATGCATCTTGGTATGTATTGAATACTTGACCATTAACTGTTCGCAGAAATTCAAAAGACGTTGGTCCGCGAATATTCACCAATAACAAACGTAAATAGAAGCACTCACGTTGCTTTGGATGTACCGTGTAAAGTCGCCCCAATTTCTTAGCTTTGAATATGCCTGTAATGGAAGGATGTGGTTTTCCTTGTTTTCGTGGCTCCCATTTTTTACCGGATTTGTTCCATGTGAAATAACGTGGAACATCAGTATATATCAATGTCTTTGCGAATTGGCCAAAAATATCAGATTTTTGACACAATGTAAAAAATTCAGTTAGTGTCGTTTTTGGAGCCTCAAACGCTCTTTGGATAACATTTTCTTGAGTGAACTATACACGTTGACCGTTTTCAAGATGTATATTGCTAGATGCTGGACAGGAGGGTCTCTTTCGTGTACGGGAAAGCTGAGAATATGCCAAACAGCTTCGTTGCTGCTAATGTATCTACCCATTTGGTACCGTGTTATTTCGTCATTTTTATTTATATTTTGTACTTCAAATATGGCTAAATCACTGCCTTTATTTACATACTTAACAAACGTACTTTATTGATTTTACAGAACTGCAAAGCTTGACATTAATATGAGCTACATAAATATTTGAAAGTAATGGTGAGTATGGTACCACCCACTGATTATCAAGTTCTACTTGATTTATAGAATTCGGCAGTCGCATTGTGAATCTGTGGCCACCGTTCTCAGTATTTCTGCGGCGATACATTGGATAACCGTCAATATCCGTGATAGTTTCATTCGTATGCGGCTTTGGAAAATGTTTCTTACATTTTCCATTTTCCATGCATGGTGACGTCATGTTGAAAACACCGCATGGCCCGTGTATCATATGTTTGGTAACAATATCAAATAATTCTTGATCAATTGATGGGTCTGAAATTTCGGCTGAAATTATTTGATCTATTTCTTCTGGACGGATGTCATCTTGAAGCCAAATTAAAATGTGGGCATGAGGCAAACCTCGCTTTTGCCTCTCGATCGAATATGTATTTTAACAGTGGTAGAGCCACGCGGCAGCTTTGCTGTCGCACGTATGGGCCGGCTCAAACCGGGGTGGTACCACGACCTCACAGAATAGAAGTGGAAGCTCTGCTTCCGCGTTTCGTCTGGTGAGTGCAGGTAGCCGGAGGCCCAAATCCCCCCCCCATCAACATGGTAGCGGAATTATATAATGATAGACTACCCCAGGAGGGAGCCGTGGTAGCTCAGATAGATAGCGCTCGCTGTAAATTTCACAGTACGCGAACAAACCGGGTTCGATCCCCGCCGGCACCAATGAAATTGTTAATTGCAATTTTAAGTGCTGATTTACCACGTGCTCGGCGGTGAAGGAAAACATCGTGAGGAAACCTGCATGTCTGAGAAATAAGAAAAAAAAATTTCGTAGACATGTGAAGTTCGCCAACACGCATTGGGACAGCGTGGCGGACACTTCCTTGCTCTAGTACCCTCTCAGAAATGAGAGGAGGCCTGTGCCCAGCAGTGGGACGTATAAAGGCTGTAACATTACTTTACTTTTTACTTTTACCCCAGGAGGGTAACAGCACCCCCGGAGGATCAGCATCCACGACCATGTTTCTCCACTTCTGGGCGTGGGTGCTCAGGATGCCCCGACTATTCTGGGGGGGGGGGCAAAATTCCGCTCAAGACTACAACTGCTCGGGGCAAACGGAGCAACAGGACCAAGGCGACCCCTGCCACGCTGTCCGTGAATTTCTGCAATATCAGGGGACTTCACTCTAACCTAAACGCCGTCCACTACCATCTCGAGACGGCGAAGCCGACTCTGCTCTTTCTGACCGAGACGCAGGTGTCTTCTCCGGCTGATGTCTCGTATCTCTCCTACCCGGTGTACAAACTGGATTACTCCTTTGTGCCTCGGGCTGGAGTTTGCGTTTACGTCAGAGACGACATCTGTTCTCGACGCCTCGGCAGACTTGAAGGTTCGGACCCGTCCAACCTTTGACTACGCGTAGACAGCGACGACCATCCGCGCGTCTACGGGTGCCTCTATAGGTCCCATAGCGATAATGCCGAAACAGACCGACTCTTCGACCACGTCCAAATGGCTACAGATTCGTTGCTACAGCAGATCTCCTCCGCAGAGATCGTGATCCTCGGCGACTTTAACGCCCATCAAGCCGAATGGCTTGGTTCACGTTTAACCGATCATGCGGGGAGAACTGTTCATGAATTTGGACTTCCCTGCTGGAACTTCTGCTGACCTCTCACCCGGACGGATATCAGATTTCCGTCGAAGCCCCTTTAGGCTCCGCGGACCATTGTCTTGTCCGGAGTGTGGGGCCACTCACGCTGAAATCGCGGTTGCATTATGCAGGCTGCCGCCGTGTTTGGCACTATAGGTCAGCCGATTGGAATGGAATGCGGTCTTTCTTTGCATCCTACCCTTGGGGGTGGGTTTGCTTCTCGCCGGACGATCCCAACGTTGTTGCGGATTCTGTCGCTGATGTGGTACTTCAGGGTATGGAACTTTTTATTCCTTCCTCTGTGGTGCACATTGGAGGCAAGTCTCAGCCATGGTTTGGTCGCTCCTGTAAAATAGCATCATGCTATAAGCAGGAGTGCTACCGAGCCTGGGCTGACGCATCAGCGTCCCGGGATGTAAACACCAGCGCAATAAAAAAGAAGTATAATTCCGCCTCTAGGTACTTCAAAAGAGTCATTGCTAAGGCAAAGTCAGAGCACATAGACAGAATTGGCGAGAAACTAGTTCGCCTTCCTTCTGGAACCCGTGCATTCTGGTCTCTCGCCAAGGCTGTCCAGGGGAATTTCTTTCAACCATCTCTTCCATCTCTGCACAGGGAGGACGACTCACTGGCCCATACCGCAAAGGAGAAAGCCGATCTTCTAGGCTCTTTCTTTGCGTCCAACTCGACTCTCGATGACGGGGGCAGTACGCCGCCGACCATCCCGCGGTGTGAGTGCTCCATGCCGGAAGTGCATTTCACTCAGCGCTCGGTTCGCAAAGCACTCCTCTCCCTGGACATCCACAAGTCGAGTGGGCCTGACGGAATCCCCCCAATTGTGCTGAGGACGTGTGCTCCAGAGTTGGCACTATCCCTAAAAAAGGCGACCGCTCAGACCCGTCGGCCTATCGCCATCACCTCCTTGTTCTCCAAAACAATGGAGTCCATTGTAAACTGCCAGCTCATGAGGTACCTTGAAAATCACCAGCTGATTAGTGACCACCAATACGGTTTTCGCCGTGGTCGGTCAGCTGCTGGCCTAACTCACGGTTTGGCGGAGGCAGTAGAGTCCAAGGGGGAGGCATTGGTCGTTAGTTTGGACATTGTGAAGGCCTTCGATCGGGTTTGGCACAAAGCGCTTCTTTCGAAGCTCCCTTCCTATGGGCTTCCCGAGAAATTGTGCGATTGGATCACCAGCTTGCTTGCAGATCGGAAGCATTAAGGTCGTTGTAGACGGTGCAAGCTCCGATTGCAAGCCTATTAAGGCTGGTGTTCCACAAGGCTGCATGCTATCACCAACGCTGTTTCTTGTGCATATCAGTGATATGTTACAAACTCGTAACATTCATTGCAATGCAGATGACAGCACTGGTGATGCTTTTTACACCGGCCGTGCCAATATTTCTCGGAAAAACGTCTCCGAGTACCGGGACAAACTTGTGTCTGAAGTCGAGTCTTTGCTGAACAGAGTCTCGAATTGGGGGCGACTAAATCTAGTCCAGTTTAACCCCCAGAAGACACAAGTTTGTTCGTTATCCACTAAAAAGAACCCCTTTGTCGTATCTCCTCAGTTCCAAGGCACTCCCCTTGTTGCCTCAGCCAGTATCGGAATCCTCGGCGTCGTCATATAGAGTGACGTGCAGTTTCGTGGTCACTTGGAAGAGAAGACCAAATTGGCCCCTAAAAAGCTTGGCGTGCTCAGCAGAGCGGGACAGTATTTCACGCCTGCACACCGCCTGCAACTTTAAAAGGCGCAGGTTCGGCCGGACATGGAATACTGTTCCCATCTCTGGGCTGGGGTTCCCCAGTACCAGCTCCTTCTACTTGACCGCATCAAAATCAGCAAAAACAATAATAAATAAAATAAAATAAGAAATTAAAATAAGTACACACAGTAAGATATTAAATAGTTAATTGTCAAATTTACCAGTATTTGGATCACTGGATATTAAGGTGATATTCATCCTGTCCTTGCCAAAATATTAATGGATATTGTAGTGCGTCATATGAACGGTGTAGATCCGAAATCGTACTGACAGTGTTGTCTCGCCGTGTAATTGTTATAGCTCTATTGTCAACTGGATCACCAACCATAATAATAGCGACCTCATCAACAGTTGGAGCGTTGAATCTGCCAGCATGTTCACCCAATGGTACTTTGTCGGCTTTTATGACGACTTGATTGTTGTCATTTTGCAGTCGTGGCGAAACTCTTTTAATGAATCGAATTAGTTCATTATGATCTTCTAAAAATTTTTCCAGCATAATCACAATTGCTCTTTCTTCTGCTTGTTCAATGAAATTATACTGGAACCGAGTTGTCACGCGCTCTTCACAGTTGCCCATAAAATAAATTTGAAGAAATTTCGTATCATTACCAGGAATTGGCACCAATGACCCGATTTGATGGTACACCCGTCCTTGTATTTTAAATTTCGTTTCAAAATTACGTCCATCAGATGCGAAATCGCAAATTTTAGTTGCCCCAAATGACGTTATTTGGAAGCAAGAATTAAATTCGCGTATCTTACGCAAAAATAATTTTGAATCATCTGAATCGCCAGCAAGAAGGGATAATAAAGGTTCCGGCGGAGTGAGTAGAGGTGACAGCACAACTTTTTCCCGATGCGCAACACATGCCGGGTGTTTTGTTCTGAAATTTCAATGCCTGACAATATTGACACACTTTATCCTTTGTACCGATAGCGATTTTTGAATGCGCAGAGTAGTTAATATCTGGTGCATATTCGAAAGCAAGACAAACAAATGATGCTCGTGATAATGAGCGGCTGGCCCGCTGCCTCTGTCGTTCTTGTACTCAAGCTGTAACTATGTTTTGCTCTCGTGCTGCTCTTGTTCTCATAATAGTCTGTCGCAGACGTTCGTCACGCTGTTCTTGATGTTCTTGTGCACGACTCTCTGCTGTCCTGATTCTTTGATCTGCATTTTTTGTTTCGAATTGTTATGCCGACTGATGAGCACTTTCAACACGTTTGTGTCGTGCCTCTATGCCCCTCGCGTTGACTGAAAATAATAATTTAAACTTTTAAATTAAAAAAAAACTGAAAAACATGCTATTATATCACATTGAAATAAGGATTGAAAATAATTTTTAATAAAGTTTGAATAAAAAAAATAAAAAATATTAATAAATCAATAACATGAGAAGCAAGCGGACAATAAATACCAACCATTTTTGTGACAAATAACCAGATTAATTTAGATCTTGGAGCCTTAGTACCTCATGACCATCAAAATACAGTAATTCTATGCACTGCGAATACAATAATGTAACTATGTGATAATACTTACATGTATAATATATTATTTTAATTAAAGAGTTTTGAACAACGAAGCACTAATAATTAAGAAGCAGGAATAATTTCACTGTATTATCTTCACTATAATATGAATTTAATTTATACTTCAGTAATCAAAATATTATTCCTGTAATTTTGACAAAACATGTCATCGCTTAATTTTTTCTGTTTAAAGGTACCGTTTCAAACGTAGCAATGACGCATGCGCAGTACGGGTACGTACTGCGCATGCACCAATGCGCTTGAGAGCGTATGTATTGTGACTGTCAAATTATATACAAATATAATTTGGAATAAAATAATATTGCGAATATGAATTGAAATGTAAGCTATCCTATCTCTTAAGTTGGATCAAACTGCACACGTTGTGCAAATTTGATCAAAATCGGTTAAGTAGTTTAGGAATCCATCGCGGACAAACAACGTGACACGTACTTTATATATATAAAGATTTTAACTACTCTGCAGTTAAAATCTCTCTTAATCTCTGCGAATCTATTCTTACATTGACACCTTCCAATAATACAATAGTGTTAGAAGAATTAGAGCGTACATACATGTAGGAAGCCTAAAAAGGCTACAAGTTGTCTCTGATCAAGTTCTGTTATTGTAGCAGTAACATTGTCTATGTAGGCAAACACGCTATGTTGCATCGATTACCCTATTAAAACAAAGTCCAAACATGGTTTAGTAAACGCGTACCTCCACTTAGTTTCCGATGATCTTCTGTCAAACACTCAGACCCTTAGCAATTTATTTACAGAAGCTACCTACCAAACAATATTAAAAGAACCCAAACATAGTTTAGTAGCTATGTGCCTTCAAAAATTCCCCACGATGTTGTTCTGCTTCATCATTAGACCATCAGACCCCATAGCAGTGCTCCTAGGTAGACGTAACAAAAGGGCATAAAATCTTAAGAACTTTACAAAGATCAGAATCGGTGCCAATGGTGATTCATCACCTGACTGTCACAATCAAACATATCTAAGAATAAATCTCAAACGCTTCACAAAAATAAAAGATAAATTTAGTCAAGCCGCCTAAGGAAATTATGCGATAAAACTTGTTTTAACTAAATTTTTTTATTGCAGGGTGAGTTGTCACGGTAACTACAATCTAAGAACCAATTCCGATAAATCCCAAACCCTTTACAGATAACCGTATTTAATTCAGTCATGCCAATTTGGATGATAAATGAAAACAATCGTTAGCACACAAAAAATCTCTCACTCTTCACAAATATTCTTCATCCCATTATGAGTAACAAGTTTCAGTAACACAGTTAATAGTGTTTCATGTTATTTGCAAAAAAACATCCTTTTATTGGCACGAAAGGAGAGGTAAGGATTTTCCGAAAAAAAAAACTTAAGTTAATTTTTTTTCATACAGGAGAGGAAATCTTTCGGGTGAAATTAATTTGGACAATAATGACAAATGACAAAATTGTGATGAGCGCGGCCATATACCGTCAAATCCCTAGCAGTCTCATGAGGTCACGCCCACCCGCAGCACTTTAACCCATAAAAACTTATATATAGAGACTACTTTTTTATGAAGAAGTTTAGCATTATATAATCAATATGAAATACTCTATTCTCTAGTGCAATAAAAAACTGTTATCCTATGAATATTCATTTATAATCCACGTTCATTTCGTACGACATTTTCGCGTGAATGTTATTGTGTTGATTTTTAGATTTTGTAGTGTTTTACTATAGTGTTTTATTATAAAATTGCAATGAAAGTTTTTGTGTGGATATAATGTATGTTTTAAGTAAATAATTTCGAGTTATATTGAAATAATTGTGATTTTTACGCTGCCGAAATTCGCTTGATATGTTTTTTTTTTTGGTATCAAAATACAATAAAATCTTTTTGTAATGAAGAATAAAACCTGACCACAAGATAGAGAATTTTGTAAAGATTTTATAAGGCTAAACTTTGTCACAGAAAATTCGTCTCTAAATATAAGTTTTAATGGTCTTAAATACTGTGGGTGGGTTCGGTCGCATGTGACCTCTCGGGATTTGCTGGGTGCAAGCAACTGCATGGGATTTTTATGGCGCTTGAAGGGCTTAACCCTTCATGAAATGAAATAAACCTAGGAAAATTTACATTGAGAGACTATTTTTCTATGAAGAAGTTTATTATTATAAAATCTATACAAAATTTTCTATCCTGTGGTCAAAACAAAAGTCAGGTTTTACTTCATTACAAAAAGATTTTATTGAATTTTGATAACAAGAAAAAACATAGCAAGCGGATGTCGGTAGCATAAAAATCACAATTGTTTCATATAACCAATATATAAAACATAATTATACCACACAAAAACTTTCATTGATAAAAAAACACTATAGAAAACTACGAAATCAAAATCAATAAAAATTCATAGGATAAAGTTTTTTATTGCACTAGAGAATAGAGTATTTCATATTGATTATATAATATATATAATATTACTCACACAAAAACTTTCATTACAATTTTATAATAAAACATTAATAAAACACTAGACAAATCCAAAAATCAACACAATAACATTAACGCAAAAATGGCGTACGAATTAAACGTAAATTATAAATAAATATTCATAAGATAACAGTCTTTTTATTGCACTAGAGGATAGAGTATTTGATTTTGATTATATGATGCCAAATTTCTTCATAGAAAAGTAGTCTCTATTTATAAGTTTTTATGGGTCAAAGTGCTGTGGGTGGATGCGACCTCATGAGACCGCTAGGAATTTGATGGAATATGGCCGCGGTCTCATGAGACCAATAGCGGGTTGAGAGGTTAAAGTGCAGTGGGTGGGTGCGGTCGCATGCGACCTCTCAGGATATGCCGGACGCACGCGACAGCATTGGATTTTTATGGGGATTGAAGGGTTAAATCAACTACTTCCTTCAATATTATTGTAAAAGGCAGATCGATAACTGATGCTGGTTGTTCACAGATCCAACATATTATTTTCGACGCATGGGAGAATTCACAAAACGCGATAGGTGTTTTTTGCGATATATATAAAGCTTCGAATGTGTTGATCGCACTACCTTACTTGTGAAAATAAATCACTACGGTGTTGAGAATATGGTTCTAAAATTAATCGCGTCGTATCTTAGCGACCGAACTCAGACAGAAGAAGTCAATGATGTTAATTCACAATATTCTAAAATATAATCAACTGTTCTGCAAGGCTTGAACCATAGTAGCGCCATTTTTAATTTTGTGTTACATAAATGACCTTCCAAATTTTATGAATAGCCTATTTGACGTTGTATTGTTTGATCACGACATATCTCAGTTTTTAAGACTGACTTAGAAAACACAAATTTGATGACGTAGATAACTTTTGCACGTGTGTCAGATTGGTTCATAAAAAAATTAATTTAGCACTTCATCCTTAAAAAAAAACTATATGTACCAATTTCTGTTTTCCAAATGCGAAGAGCGTTGACTATAATATGATATTAAATAACACGAAATTAAATATTCTTCAGTACACAAATTTTTTAAGAATTACCCAGATAATTAGCTGCATTGGAATTATCACATAGCTACTCTTAACAAAAACTGTGTTCAGCGGTTTTCACTATTAGAAAAATTAGGCAGTTAACTGATGTAGATACTACAAGTCTGGTCTACTTCAGTTATTTTCATAGTCTATTTTCATATGGAACATGTTTGTGGGGCAAATCATCAGACATTAAATCTGTATTTTGTCATTCAAAAAAAGAGCTATACGAGCAATTCACAATTTTAACTAACGAGAGTCTTTGAGGGAATTGTTCGAGGAAATTAGCATATTGACTGTAGCTTCGCAATATACCTATTCGAACATCATTTATGTAAGTATATAAAAATATTTTATTATTTAGAATAAAAAGCGACATTCATTAAATAAACACTATAAATAAGCATAAATTAGTAGTTCCTTCCTTAAGACTAAAGAGAGTAAGTAACACCTTTCTGGAGCAATGTGATACACACTCTGGAACAAGCATACGCTTCTTCAATAAGGTA